TTTTATGATTCTCTGTCATGATGACTGCTTCTATAATACATTGCGTTGGTTCATCTATGCTTTGAATTCGCATAATCAGTAATAACAAAATTACCCTCAGAATGGACTCCAAATCTTTTATTATTTTTTGCCTAACCTCGAATTCACTGTTATGCTTTCGGAGATTTTAGATGGTAGGAAACTGACTATCTGTTTACTTGAAGATGGAAATCCCAAAACAGCCGTTTTTTCAGTGATTCACTTCTCGAAACACCAAACAAACGTGTTTGTTGATTGCGCTTTCTAGATTTCAATAACAGATTAGCCGCTTAGTTGTCTGTGTATACCTCTGGAGGATCCTTTGGGTATATATCATCGAGATTTATTTCAGACCTCTTCGAAGGTACTTTCTGTTGGAGGAATTATAAGTTTTCGGTTCCCGCAGTGAAGTCAGTGTAATTTTCTTGCGTTTCGAAGATTTCCTCCCTTCCATATGTATGAATCGCATTCTTGGATGAAACTTAAATGTTTCTTCTCACCTATAACTTGTCGCTCTACCAAACGAAGGATGGCATGAAGCTATTCAAAGAAATTTTCCAAAAAGCGTCGCTCCTATTTTGGGCTCTAGACCCCTGTTGATCTCCTTCTGTAAGGAAATGGTTTAAAATAATCACTAAGTCATTGGTCTAAAATGATACCAAGCATTTCAAAAAAATTGACAGCTATAGTATAATGCTCAACTCTACATTGGAAAGGGTAGCCACTGGACAATTTTGATTTTGTATATTTTACAACCCATGAAGTTTACATGTAAAGCCCAGGAATTTTCAATTTTTTTTGGTTTAGACTCTAGATTTGGCCGGTCCATAAATTTTCTTTCAAGCTAGTAGCACATTTTAGCAGGAAAAAAACTTAGCCTAGGTTTTGCTAGATAAGCAGTATTTTTCTACAAAAAAAGGTCTCATTACGCTTTACTTGCACATTCTTGAAGGTTGCTTTTCTTCCCCAATGCTCGACTATCACTCCCACTAAAATCGTTCTGCATCCTCCCAACATTGTTAGAACTTTCACACCAAAAAAAACCTCGATAATCGAGTTGTATTTACATGCCCAAGCCGCTGCACTTGCTCATCATACTCTCACCCCCCCCCCCCTTCTCCCACCCAATACCCTTTTGGTTCAATTACATGGCAGCATTTGTCATGCTTTTGAACAGGGGCTATTGTGGCACGTCATGGTGTTTTATTCAGCCGTTTAACAGCCGTTTTGACATGCGCCTCTTCAACCCGGCCAATCCATTGACATCCCCGTTCGCTCTCCGTTCGTTATCACTTTAGAGCTTTCTGTCAATTATCGGCGAGTTTCTAAGTTTTTGCGAAGGCCTTTCTGCTTTAAACATCATGGCAATCAGCTTGCTTCGAGATAAAAGCAGGACTTTCCCTTTCGACTTTGAAAAATATGTTTTCTTTTTTCATACGACAAAGAAAATCCAGCAACTGGAGGACTATCCTTTGGAGATAGAAAGAAGATAAGGATGGCACTCGATCAGTTTCCCTGACTGCCTAGCATCGTACATATCTATTCTGAAGACTCCACTTTCCTGCAGTGGGTTTAGCCACATCTGCTTCAAGGCACTACATAATTGTGCTCTCAGTGCTTATTCATCGTGCAGAGAAAATTTGCACGAAACAATTTTTCGAACATGAACTAATACCAGATCCCTCAAAATTCGGCATGCATGCCCTTTATCAAGGAGTTCGAATGTATACAATAATCTGTAGGATCCGCAATAGTGTGACAAATCGGATCCCAGCATTTGTACTCCTTTTTAGAGCGAACAACTATAACAACTTATTGTTAGATAAAAAGGGTATTTTTCCATCTACTCCATCTGGCAATTAGAAATCTTCTCTATAGGGGGAGAGGAAGAGGTGGGACAGAAACCCTTGGCATAGGATAGCCAGGCCCTATGCAAAATTACTTGGGTGCTTATCGAGGTTCCAGCAAGCTCACCATCCTATGAATTTGAAGGCCCAAAGTAATTTTTCTAACAGTGTGAATAAGTTCCTGTTGAATCATTTTAGTTATGAACAAATAAAAAGGATTTGCTCGTACAGTTTTACAACTCATATTGACCTAACATTTTGCATTCCAGTCTCGGTGACCGTCACTGATTCAAACTAATTTGTTTAAAGTACGTAATTAAGTCTTTTGGTATTGTGTTTGACTATAGCGCCTTCAATGGCTTTCAAAGTGAGTTATTGGTGCAAAAGGTCTATTATTCGTATTGAGTACTGATTGATATTCATCAGATCTTCCTCTCAAAGTCTTTCCAGTATTGAAGTTCCCTGCTTCAGTGTTGGTTATACATTCTTCGACGGCTTTCCAAATCTCAAAAATTTTACTCGATCTCTTTTTACTGGCTGATCTTTTATTTCTTGGTCTCTTTGATCAAGTTAAAATTCTAGAATTGATATCCTAAATGTAAGCTTGTTTTGAATTATGCTAAGAATGCAAATAAGCCTAAAACTTATCCTTTGACTGACATTTTGTAAGGCTGGTATGGCAGAATAAAGAATTGAATTTCTTTAAAATCTTTTAGACTTCTTGGCGTTCTTCCCATTTTCGCTCTCATCTCATGTTACGTTCGGGATTTCCGTAATCAGTCTACCCGCTTGGTTAGCTTATCTGCCTATTTTGCATTACTCAGACGCTAAATCAGCGCCAGTTCCCCTCCTCTCTCCCCCCCCCCACCGCTTCTTACCACAAACACATAGCGCTAAATCTACTCGACGCAGACGGTGAACGAACGACGTGTAGCATCACTTCCGCAGTAATGAAGGCGACTTGCCGATACGGTTAGCCGAACGCTTTTTGTTGACTCAAAAGATGCACTTTTCCTTTCGATCTGAGTTTCTGAAAAAAGAATATCTGAGATAATGGAGTGCGCGAGAACTTTGATGGCATTTTCTATTAGATTAAGTCAGGTGTAAATTGTGTGAATATCTTTAGCGCCACTCTATTATTCATCCCGTGGCGCGTGAAGTGCGTTCAGAAATGCTATTGTGGTTGATTCAAGTTCATAAAGGAACACTTGCTTTTTGTCAAAACATACAGCTGCGTCGAATAAAATCTTCGAACACGGTTTGTTTCATTTTCATTATGACGTAAATTATCACCTGTGCATAAGTAGAGCTAAGAAAAGCGCTGTACCTCAGTTGAACCGTCTTTATTCCCACTTAACTGTGTCATACGCAAAGTCGCTGCACGTCCTCCATCTGTTTATTTTGGTAAATAATTCACTTTCTTCGAATAAGCAAGAAATTCCCGTCCTCACGAAATCTTTGAGAGTTCGCAGCGGTTTTTCGTGACGTTGTCATCTCGAGACTTTCGGGATTTACGTGTAGCGCAACCTTAGTCATGAAAATTCTGCATTATTCGGGATTTTCACAATTTAAAATAAAAAGTCTATTTAGCGCGTCCCAGAATTTATTCTATTAGGATGTCCCATGAGCCAATTCAGGTTTGACTTTTCACCGATTTAGCATATATTCTCGACAGGAGTTGGGATATTGTCCGAAAGAGTAAAGCAAGCTCTACGATATGGCGTTTGAAAGCTCGCACGAAGCTTGACCCGCATAAAATCAACACATAAAAAATTTAAGTCCCATGAAAAAAACGAGGAAATACCTCAGTTCAAAAAATTTCTGCAAATCTCCCACTCGTTCACGCATATACTTTCCACATTAAACAGTTATATATACACTTACATAAAAATTTTATGGGCCGAATGGGCAAACTTCAGTTCTTGCCGGTTCCAGGCTCCTCCTACGTATGTACTTATTTAGCTAATTCACTCAGAAATGCTGCCTTGAATTTGAATCATGGTGCCCTAGCTCTTGAAAAATATCGAATCCAAGATTCAAATGTGAAAATATCCTTAGGACAACCTAGTAATTCTAATTTCTTTTGTTGTCATTCTTGGGTGAAAAATGAGGTCATTCTGTTTTCTTCCCAGACCATCCCCGAACTTTTACAATTTTCTTTCCCCCCATCTGATCCATTTATGGACAATTTTTTCACTTTGGTAGAGTGAAAGCTATTTCACAGTACTTCACTTACCTCCGTCTTTTCCATGCAACCAGATTTTGCTCGAAAAGTCAAAAGTTGCTTTGTGCATCCACCTTATTTATTTTCTTTGATTTTAATCACACCTTGCGCTTTTACTCTAATCTGCTTAGAATCATCTCGAGTTTATCAGAGAAGCATAATAAAAACATATGGAGCGTAAACATGCATTGCAGGGTACTGATATCAAAACTGCTTTGTTGGCAGTAATGAAACATTTTATATAATACAGTAAATTCCTTTTTATAAATTAATCAGGGCATTAGAAATTCAAAAATTGAATTAGGGAATTAATAATTCAAAAATTGCAAAAGTCAACCACAATCCTTTCTTGCAGTCTAGAGAACTAACATGAGATAAAATGATTGAAGAAATGCAAACGCGCTTATTTTTATTTATTCATTCATTTATTTGTTTATTTTCATTTTTATCCATCTATTTTTTATTTTTTGGCAAGCACATTACTTACGGGCGCTTATTTTTTTCTCGTTTTCAATTGAGTGATGCGTATGGAACTTAAGCTGCCATTGTCATCCTTGCTTCCTCTCTGTACAACTCACTTTTATTTATATTGTGCGCAATGTAATTTTTACGATGTAATTTGATAATACTCACTCAGTACTCATTTTTTACCACTTCCTTAGTTTTCGTCATCAATTTTTGTGAACTCCTGAAGACTACAAGATGAGCTCTCTAAAATCTTTTGCAACATGCCCTCATATACGATTTTCATCTCACAAACATCATCAGTCGCTTCATTATGGTTGTACTCTCTAATTAAACAGCGTTCGTGCTCTATGTATTAAATCCAATTAATCGCTTTTGTATTGGATTACACATATCGCGTTCGTGCCTATTGTTTTGAATTCACCAAAATTAATATTCTGTGTTGTAGTTAATGCCTCTTCAATGTTGCCGCTGAAGTATGGAATGTCCCAACGATACTCCACTATTCGATTTGCGGCAGAATTCCACACGAGATTTCCTCGAAGCACTGGAAAATTTCCGAAGGTGAGAACCAAAGAATTACTGAAATCGTGAAAAATTTCAACGGCTTTATATTTTTGTGCAAAAAATAATCTGGTGGTAATTCCCACATTTTTTTTTTGAAAATCGCTTCAAGCAATCCACCCCTCCGAGAGGATCGCTCATTTTTTTGAATGCTATAATATTACGTTTATCGAATTTCCATGTAACTGAATCGTTTTCGCTGTCAAAAATAAATAGATAAATTTTGCGAAAAAAATTCCAGCTCCGTAAAAAATCTAGGAAAACATATTATAAATTATTATCATATAACAAACAAACATATTATCAAATATTATAAAAATTTCCCATTTTTTAGAAAGCACTCAGTTCCACCGGTACTCGTTCAGATAGTTTGTATTTCCTCCATGTCCGCTCGTTCCACCCATTCCTTCTTCAAGTCATAAACTCTCGCAAAATCACGAATCTTGTTCTGTATGCTGAAGCCCTTTAAAAGCCCTACAAGTGTGATTTAGTTTCAGTTTTCGTTATTTAGTTTTCTAAATATTATGAGAATAGATCTTTCGTCTTAAGGTGAGAAATAGATTGATTCGTTTGCAAGTCAAATGCGCCCACCCACCAGCAGATGAGTGCTTTTATTAGTTCCTGGAAGGAAAGGGGTTGGTTAGCTGCTAAAGAGATACCCAAAGAGCGTAGGCAAACAGGGGAGAATTGAAGCAAAAACTCAGGTTCTTGCATTATCCGTTTGACCTATTCATGCAATCGGGAGTACATTTGTACAAAACACCTCAATTTTGTGATAGATGGTGCTCGAAATAGAAGTCAAAACTCTTTTGAACTAGTCAATCAAGACAATAATCATTTTTTTCTACTACGGAAATATGTAACAGGGAACATTCTTGTAACTATATAATATTCAAAATACAAACTCTTTTATGTTATTCTTTTACATGATATATATAAAGGAATTGGAAGGTAGTGAGGAAATAAGTTGAATGCTCTTGTATCTTTGAATCTGGGCATAATAGGATGTGTCAGTAAGTATTGTGTTTGCCAACCAGATTCTGCGGTGGAGACTTTATTGACCTAACGTTTCGACATCGGCATCATCATCAGAGGTGTGAAAACGGATTGTAGGCTTTAGACCTGCTCACCATACCTTCAAGCACCTCTTCCCACTGTGTCAGTCTAGACCTAGTCTGAGACTCACAGCATGAGACCCTCAAAGCTGGCCTTTTGATATGAGATGCATATCGTCTGAAGCAGCTTTGAACGCTGATTTCAAATCTGCTTTCGTTTCTGCGGAAAGCCCTTCTGAAGAGAGTTATGCAAGCCTGAATATCCTATTTTGGGGGCGCTCTTTGAGTTTGAGAGCGCTGCCATAGCGGCGGTGGTGCAGTGGTGTAATGGTTAGTTGTTGGCATTGAAGGCGAATGGTCGGTGGTTCGAATCCGGTGCAGAGCAAACCGTTTTGCACTTTGTATGTAGTTTAAAAACCACTCTAATTTGTCTGCGGTCATTTACTGTAATGCCCTTGGCTGTGACCTAAGGGAAAAATTTTCTGGCATAACTGCTTGTAATGAGACCCTGAAACCCTACTGACTTCGTTATCAGTTAAACAGGAACGAACATGGTGAAGCATGTTCATCACCATATAAAGCTCAAGTAATGCGCACTATCATTAATCGAGAAGATGTTTTCCCCTGCCTTTAATTTGATGGGTACTTACGAGCATAAGCCATACGCTGTTCCCGTTGCGAGAAATGTCTGTGTTCTGCCCACTCTGTAATTTCGCTTCACCTCTGTACATATTTTCTTGCGGAGAAAACCAAATCTCAACGAGCAAGCGGTTTTGCCAGGAAATTTTTCCTTGGGTCACATTTGCTAAGGGCATTACAGCAAATGTCTGCAGACGAATTAGAATGGTTTTTAAACTCACATAGAAAGTGCAAAACAGTTCGCTCTGCACCGGATTCGAACCACCGACCTTTCGCCTTCAATGCCAACAACTAACCATTACACCACTGCCACTCATGGCAGCGCTCTCAAATTCAAAGAGCGCCGCCAATATAGGATATTCAAGCTTCTATAACTCTCTTCAGAAGGGAGTTCCGCAGAAACGGAAAGTAGATTTGGAATCAGCGTTCGAAGCTGCTTCAGACGATATGCATCTCATATCAAAAGGCCGCGGCCATTGATAGTACCTCCCTTGTCAGACTAGGTCTAGAGTGACACAGTGGGAAGAGGCGCTTGAAGGTATGGTGAGCAGGTCTAAAGCCTACAATCCGTTTTCGGACCTCTGATGATGACGCCGATGTCGAAACAATAGTGAGGAAATAATTATAGTTTTTTTTTGAGCTGCTTGTATGTGGATTATGATCACTTAACTGAACTGCAGGAAACTCTGTATTTTCATGTATACACCAACTGAGATCTGCTTGTAAGTCTGTACATACTAATCTATCAGCTTACTACTGCTCTTTTCTTCGCATTTCGCAGCAGAAATTTCATTCTGTCATTCAGTGTGAGTGGATCTTTAAGAAAAATTCACTGTGCTAGAATCACTCAGAAGTCAGTCTCTAGAAATTTTTGTGCCAAAATTGTGAACAAGCGATCGCACATGTTTCTATGACGAAAATTCCCATGCAGAAAAATCTTCCAGAAATTTTGAGAGAGCACTACTACACACTGATACCTCCCTTCGGCAGATTTATGTATCAAGTTAGCAATGAAATTATGTACCTAAATAAGGTTTCTGAAGGGCGAGAAATCACTGTTGTGTGTGTTAGAGTTGTAAACATTCAAATGTTTGACCTACTGACTCTATAAACAGCTTAACAAGCAAACCCCAATCCAATTGACGGACTTCATAGAAAAGCAAGTTGCGAGCTACTTATCGGCTCATAGGTCACACGCTTCAGAAGCTCAGTGGGGCATAGTTTCTGGGAATAAACCGATGAAAGATTGCTAGATCCTCTAAACAGGTGTTTAATACAGAGAGTAAATCAAGAAATAGCTTTTTATGGGATTCTAGACTTAGCCAAAGGTTGTACAATGAAATATTTGATTGAGTTGAAGTTTTACACTGTTTACTCTTATTTTTCTGCTATTTTCAGTGTCTATGGCCCAATCCACGGATTCGTTTGTGTCGGCCTATGTGTGTTCGGGATCCTGACCAACATGGTACACGTTGTTGTACTGTCTCGTCCAACGATGAGAAAATCGGCCGTCAACTGCGTTCTGACCGCAGTCGCCATCTGTGATATCGGAACTATGGCCTCGTACCTGATCTACATTGTTCACTTCGTTGTGCAGAAAGGACATACTTGGTAAGTTGAACGTCAGAGCATTTTTGTACAAGGTCCAATGTTACACGGATACCACGCTGTGCCAGAGCCGTTCCAGCGTCGTGCCTGATTGAAGTTTAGCATCACACCTTTGGCACGGCGCTGAAATTGCGCTGACATAGGGCTGGCACATTGGTAATTGCCCTCTTCAGGTGCTAGGACAAACGGTTTTATTTGAAATTTGTCGAAACTTGATATTTCCCTTTTTCTTGATAGCGTCTTTTGAAAACACTTGATAAAACCAGGAACATCATCAAATGGTAATTTAAATTATTTACCTGAAAGTGTTCTAGGAATGTATCATTGGTTTCGTGCTATTTTTGTTACTAGTAACTTACAGGGGAATAAACTATAAGTTTTCGGCCCTTCTTTTCTGTTATGAAACCTAAGCTAAGGTGAGCCTTTAGCTAAAGGTAATATATGGGTATAGCTTTGGCATAGACTGTCAAGCAAGATCTCATTCTGTGCAAGAGCTATTACTAATCTAGGTCTCCTTTTTCAACTTATCGGCATGTTTGTTTCTTTATCGTACACATCAAGCATATGAGTGCCCTCAACAAAAACCCATTGAAATAGGTACAGATTGTTCCATGCAGGAATTTTTGCGTGAAATGTTACACTCGAATCATTTTATATGATCATGTGTGGCATTGCATACATCGCTCATTTTTGGCGTCCTCATACTGGATTTTCAATCGCAACGCAAGAGATTGACCGATTCTTATTATATATCACTTTGAGGTGATTAGTACCTAGAAAGTGTAGAAAACAAGACTCCAAGAATTGGCTCCAAGAATTCAGGATGGAAACGCCAAAAATAGACAGTGTGTGCAATGACGCACATGATCATGTGAAATGACTCGATTATACCTACATAGTGAGAGTAGAAGATTCACGTTATCGAACCTGCATATGGCACAATGCTGACTTCGTCTCATCGTTTTTGTATTTCAGTAGTCCAACTTACACCCACGGATGGATGTTATTCTTGCTATGGCATGTGGCTCTTAGCATCACCTTGCATACGACTTCTTTATGGCTGGCAGTAGCGATGGCATTTATTCGAAGAATGACCCTCAGGGTTGCAAGGCTAAACAGGCAAGTCCTTCCTTGTTATATGTGGATATGAATACACGAGAAAACTTTTCTGCTCATGATCGATATCATTTTTGATTTTTTGAAAAACCTGTGAGCTTTGTTATATGAAATTTCACAGTTTCACGAAATTTTTAGTGGTAAGTATTCTAAAGCAACTTGTTTTTCACTTATTTATTTACTTGTTTATTTCGTATGTACACAAGGCTCCAACATAATTACAAGCAAGACAACAAACGGAAAATTTTCGATCGATAGAAAAATAAGAAAATAAAACTATACTTGAAAACGTTTTGGTTTTTGAACGAAGTAAAGAGCTCAGCTGTGCCAAAATCCTATAATATGCTGCTCCACATTTTCCAAGTTATATCTCACAGACTTCAAAATTTTCTGAGGGTAATGGAAAGGAAGTACCCTCTCTTCTTCTGAAATTTCAAAAATCTGGTCGGTAGTAATGACAATTGTCAAGAAATGAACATCAATGTGTGGCAATGTCGTATCGTGGTGGCTGTCATTGTCAACTTTTCCAAGAACTATTGTGAAAATATTCTTTTCAGCACTTGGCAACGGCCACAATTTGCTTGGAAATTGTGTGTTTTGATCTACATATGTGTGTTCATAATGTGCATTCCAAGTATTTTTGTACATGAGATTTCCTTATACCCTGGCGGTGTATGGCAACCGAACAGCCAATGCTCCTCGCGCTATCCAGCAAACTACACTCAGCCAATGTACACTTTCTCAGTAAGCTCAATTTTTAGAGATAATTTGGAACAAATTACACCTTATTTTTTCAGGTCAGCAAAGAAGCCACTGCCAATAATTGTAGGCTTTTCAAGATGAATATTTGGGTGATCGGCATTGTTTTTAAGGTAACCTCTATTTTTATCAGAATGATTTTTACTACTTTTCTAAATCTTTATCTACTTGATTTACAGAATAATATATTACGTTGCTATATAGGTCAAAGCAGCAAAAAATCCGAAAAATTCGTTTCAAACTTCTTAGATTTTGAGTCAAATTGAATGTTTTTGTAACTCACGACAAATGTTCTAGTTTATATGCAAATTGGAGATTCTATAAGGAGTATAATGGAAACACTGCCAGAAAGCCCCAGAATCACAACTTGCCATAAATTCTTTCGATCAGCATGATTTTTTTCTTTTTTTTTCAATTTTCTTGGTCTTTTTAGCATTCTCAATGCCTAAATTTGATAGTAACTGAGAATTTCTATAAATTTACTTAGCTTATATCTCGAGAAATTCACGTTTTTGCTTGAGGTAAATTTAGAAAGTGCATCATTCGAGTTGCTGACCTTTATAAAACCAGACCAATTCTTTAGACGTGGAAAAAAATTATCTTTTCTGAGACTTCGGTGCATGCCCTACCATATTCTCATTTCTTTTTAGGTTATACCTTGCATATTGCTCATGATTCTCAGTTTTGGCTTAGTTGATAAAATTCGGCAGGCGGAACGCCACCGCAGAAAGCTCACAAATGTCAGTCTCAACAATCCCAATTCCATTGATGGCACATCTCACCCAAAAAAGTAAGTTGGCGATTTTCGTGCTAGGAAGCGTCACTTGTACGATAACAAAAAATCAAAATGAATTTATTTACAGGAAATCATATAGATCGGATAGAACAACGACGGTGTTAGTGGTAATCCTCATAGTATTTTTAATCACAGAGTTGCCTCAAGGAGTAATCTCAATATTATGTGCCGTTTATACTGCTGATGTACACAAGTAAGCAAACGAATATATTTATACGACTAATTTGGTAACTCAACAATATTTGCAGATATTTGTACTTTAATCTGGGCGATATTCTGGATTTGCTTTCATTGATGAATTCATCTGTCAATTTTGTTCTTTACTGCATTATGTCATCTCGCTATCGGCAAACGTTTTGGATGGTAGTTCTTCCTTCGAGCGCGCAATCGTAAGTTTCTATTTTCACAAGCCAAGCTGTTTAGATATATAGAAATTGTTTAATAAACGGAAAGATATTGCCCTCGAAAAAAGGACCTGTTTATATTTTTTGTTTTTTGTCTCAATTTTTTCTCCTCCCTTGAAGGTACCGTCTGCCAAAAATGGGATCGATGGTTCTCGATTTTTATGCCTAACAGTAGCAGAACCCAATCAGGGTCTGGCACAGGCCATGTGGGAGCAGGCTGGACTTCGCAAAGGGGATATCGTTTTTGTGGGTCCGAAAAAAAAACACTAGTTAGGTCATGTTTTTCAGTCGACGTTTCCGAAATGGGTCAACAGGGACTTCGTAAGAATTTGCGAAAGGGGGGAAATGGTGGGGGGGGGGACTTCGTTTTCAGAAAACCTAGAAACAGACTCAAGCCGGGCCCTCCCCCAATTGCTTGCCCAACAAGCTGCTTTCGAAGCGAGAAAATTGCTTCGAAAATCGCTTTGGGTGACGAAGTTCCGGAGAACTCGCTCTGCGGATTCTCCGGAACTCCGTCGGGATGTTGGGGTTTTCGGAGTTCTCAACTTGATATTTGGAATCAGGGGCATGAGGAAGGTCCGGGAACGATTAAAACGTATATGAGTGGACGGTTCCTTTGAAAGCTATAATCAGCACGGGAGTTAGAATCTTCCAAAAAATTCACTATTTTTTAAAAATTGGAAGAGAAAAGTGGAAAATAAGGAAGATGCACGAAAGCAAGACTACGTATAGACTGTTACAATTGAGATCCCTGCTATGCCGGCGTTTACCGACAGCATTTGCGCGTAAACAACTTGTTACGCTTGTACAGGCCCCGTAAAATCCAATTGCCCACGCGTCGCTTTGAACACGGCTGGAAATGTTTGGTCCCGAAGCGCTACGGGCTTTTTGCGAGTGACAATGAGCGCGCACCCTCTCTACACATATTTTTTTTAAGCTTTCGAAGGAAGCTTTCGTCAAGATATACCTTGCATTGACGAGAACAACATGAAAGTTAAAGAAAGATTTTTTGGAATATAGTGAACGCCGAAATTCGTTCGCGACGACCGCTCGCTTACGCTGGTGTTCAAGGCACGGCGCGGGCAATTAGGTTTTACGGCACCTATACCTAATGCTGGCAACTTGCGCGCGCAAATTGGCCAAAGTGCTTACATTTTTGAGTTTTGTGCCGTTTGGCAATTTTCTCACGCGCAAATGTTGTTAGCAAATGTCGGCATTGCAGGAACACTGTAATCTGCAAGAGCCCTGTCCTATAACGCTATCAGAAAGTAAACAAACTCAGCGTTCTTGCATACGATCTTGCAGAAAAATGATAAATTGCATTTCGAAAAAGAAAAATTGAGGACAATCTAGCAGATTCAGGGAAAGAAGAATGCAGTACAGCAGTCAGAAAGTTACCGTTCAATTTATCCATTGGTCTTTTAGGCTTTGTATCACCAAACCATCAGGTGTACCTACACAAAGCAATTTCAACTTCACACAGATTCAGTTGCAAAGGAGAAACAGTAATAAAGTAAGGTGCGTAAGATGTTGAGCAAAGACGTAATTATGGTTTTCAGAAACCACTCTATTCTCCTACTGCAAGTGGTTTTCTGTTCAGAAACAAAGAATACGCACCACTTGCAACTGAAGCTGAGGAACAACGGAACGAATGCATTAGCGATGGCTCAAAAGACAGTCAAGAACGGGTGGAACAACTCTGATACGTGTATGAATATTGTACAGAAGTCAAGCATTATATTAGGAAAATACTTCATTTTGTCTTCTCCTTCATCTTGTCAGCAAAAACGGTTGAGTACATTTCTTCTACCATTCTACTTGCCGCTTTCCTTGAAAACACATTAACCGATAAATTTTTACATGTCAAACTAACGCATTCAGTAGTAGAAATACTGTCCTTTATATAGCTCCGATAATTTCCCGTGGCTTTAGCCAGTCACCTGGTTATAGCGGTATTGGCTCTTGATGTGTTTTTCATTCGTGGAAAACTTGTGAAGTCTCCTTGATCTCAACTTTGTTATCTCTCTGTTACACGAGAATTATCGCGATTCCTGGTTCTGTATGTTCCCCTGAAGCTCAACTTATTTCCAAATGCTTGTTCCTTGCTTAAATAAAAATTGATGCTTTACAGGAGGTGATGGTAGTTAAAGACAGCGTCCCGGCAAAAGGATGGGTTACGGATTCTTATGGCGTTGTAATAGACCCCCTACCTAAGCGATGACTGAAGTTCGGAGCAAAAAAGTGGTCTACCAGGTCTGCAGTTTGCCCGAAAGTGGCCGGGATCTCGCGACAAGCTCGGGCGAGTACGAGATGCATGCAGAGTGTAGACGCAGAGTCGTCGCGGGACCCTGCGCTCATGACTGAGTGCGCTACGCGTGCTCGTATACAAAGTGTACAGGGTGTCACAAAATAACTTATCAAATGTTAACGACCCTGCATGAAAAACTTTCCCTTTCCTCCAAACACCAAACTATAGAGCTGGCCTCAACTTAGACCTACAGGAGTAGAGGAACGAACACCTCAATTAGGCACCGCCTCCGAGGACTACTGGTCCTAACGCGATGCACAACAGTAGGACTAGAGTGGACCAGCAGCCCGCAAAGGCGTTGTCTAATTGAGGTGTTCGTTCCTCTACCCGACCTACAATAGCAAATCACCGATCTTTCTTCATTACAGGACAGGGAGGGAAACCTTTAGCTTATAGCATCACTGTAGATCAGCAGTGTTTCAGGTTTTTTTGAAAAACCTAAAAAAGGTTGTGCATTAGAGTTTTCATGAGTGTCAATTTCATCAAATTTTTACGAGTTTGTAGTCATTTCTATATGGTGCATTATGCATCTACAATTTTCTACAATTTTAGGAACATTGTAAAAACAGCTATGGCGATTTCAGCATAACTTATGAACAAAGCGTTGTGGTAAAGTGCAACGTTCATAGTTAGTGTCAGCGGCTCTGACTAACCTAGTGTAAGAGTCTCCAGGTTGTTTACTATAATACTCGCACTGGGCACTCGATGTCCCATTCTTCAAAACTGCCACCGTAATCCAACAGCAATGAAAAGGGAACAGTGATTCGCTTCGCATTGCAAAACTAATGTATAATATAATAGGTTGAAGCCAGCTTTACAATATGGTGTTGAGAAAAATGGAAACTTATTATACAAAAGAGTTAGAGACCAAACGTTTGATACACTATTTTTGGGACCCCTGTAGAATTGAAACGAACGAGGGGAAGGGAGCCTGGTTTTCTGCTTTCTTGCACCAATTCCTCATCAAAAAACAAAATAATTTCTGAGCAACAAAGTTGACCATCCGAATCTTATTGATCTACTCTTTCCAAAGGTACCATGGATTCACACAAAAATTTATCTGTGACATTTTTACAAACCTTAAAAACATTCAAAGTTGATTTGTGGTCAACCTAATAGAGTAAGGTTGCTTTCCGAGCTGCTAGAATGTGGAATGATGGAAATTATGTACGAGTGCAAGCTGGCAATATCTTGTATTGTTATAAACCTGCGTAGAAACCTTTTGCTTTGAGCATTTAAAAGAATAATTTATAGCGAATAGTCGTGTTATAATAATGATCCATACACAGCAGTTTAGCAACTATTGTCGAGAGTTCGGATAAAAGGTGATTCCTGCAAGAAGCAAAAAATGCTCGTGAAATTTATTCATTTTTTAGTGTGAATTACATATTGAACTCCTGCACATATTAGTTTTTCTAGAAAACATTGCGAACACAAGACAAATTACACAAATTTGGCTTTTGCGTCAATTATATGAAAAGTCTTACCTTAGTGGGACATCGCAGTTCTAAAGCATCGACGTCAGTGGATCCATTGTACATAGTCTTCTTTCCAACGGGTTCCAGAAGCGAATTCCACAATAATTTTGCCATCACAGCATTTCCATATTTACTAAGGTAAAACCCATTGAGAGTGTACATGGCAGTGGCGTACCGAGGGGGGGGGGGGGGGCGGGGGGGGGCGCGCGCCCCCCCCCGAGAACGGGTCGCGAAATTTTTGAAAATTACTTACATGAGTTATAAAAATGTGCCAATGACTTGTTTATTTTTGTAAACAATTAAAATAATTTTTAAAATTTTTTAAAAATTCAAATTAGCCTTATAAAAAAAAATTTTTCGGGGGCGTGGCTGAAGCCACGCCCCCTTTTTCCAGATTTTATGGGTTTGGGGCCCGCAAAATTGCTGAGAAGCCCCCCTAAAATTTTTTCGGAGTGCGTGGCTAACGCCACGCACCTTCATTTGAAAATTTTTTTTTGCCGCGCCCCCCCCCCCCCCCGAGCCGAAATCCTGGGTACGCCACTGGTACATGGCCTTATTAGGCATGCCGTTCCCCTAAAATACAATTTTAAATACGAGAATACAGTGCCTCATTATTAGTGTGTTATGGTTACATATGATTATCGAGAGAGAAGTGCTGCATAATTTGTAAGCTCGTCAGTCTTTTGAACTCTGAATAGATTGGATAAGCCAAAATTGAATTTTCAGTGTCTCACATATTGTCTTGTCTATAAACCATGGCTCTGTGAATAAAACATCCTTTCACGTCACGCTTAAGTGCCAAGCAACCAAGTTGAACTGTTTAGCTGCTTCCGTGTCAATGCCACTTTGCAATGTGGTGGGTACATGGGATTGATCCAGAAATACACTATGATCATGAATGTAAACTGACTACTGGGAGAAAGGGGTTAGGACTTTTCGTCCCTTACTAACTACTGATGACAGTTCTAACCTCCATCCTAGTTGCTCTAGGGGATATGCCACCAGAAACGATTGCAAGCTAGCAAATCCACCTTGTCGCGGCGAAGCCCTCAACTCGCTCAGTACTTACTTTGCTCTGGATTTAGATATAGCCTCTATTGTCAGGCTCTCAGAGTGTAGGTCTGTGGATGGCTGTATGAAGCGTTTTATCTAGACATTATTGATTGTATAATGGAGGCCCTCGCCCAGAAGGCAGACAAATGTAAATCTATTCGGTCGTCAACATGTGCTAGTATCTCTGTTGTTCAATGTCTTTCGTAAAATGAAGCATATCGCGAAAATTCTTAAAGCACTTTAAGAGCTGGGAAGACTTTAAAAGCAGATTAAAATAGAGGGTGTGCAAATATGAAGCAGGGCGGAAAACAATGAGCAATAAAAGAAGAGTTTCAACTGGAACAAGGGACGGCGCCGTTGTGCGCAGAATGATCCTCAGACTTTTCAGCATACTGTAACGCACATTTATGTGACGGCACGCGCGGGGCTTTCCCCATTATGCACATTCTATGTATTGGCAACTCAAAGGAGCTGTAACAGCGTATCTCAATTTTACTGGTTGGAGTCATAGACTGAAGCCTTGTTCTTGGAAATAAAAGCACTCTTTCACTCAAAAACAGATATGGGGACGGCGAAAAGGCGCCAGGCTGGCAAAGCAATAGCACCAGTGTGCTAGATGAGTATATCCTCGTTTCAATTCCTTTTCCAGAATTGAGACAGCAAATCAAAAACAGAGAAATAGTAGTATAAGTTAGAGGATGCATCACGATTTGGTACTTTGCGGCAAGCAATTCTAGTAAAAAGAACATTAGGCGCTTTTTCCACGCTTCGAAAGCAACTGGGAAAACTTCATTTTAAGTGACCTCAGTCCTCTTAGGGAAAGGCCTTTTTATCACGGTGAGGTTCTGTACTGTGGGATGAATCAAACTTCAAAGATGATTAACTTCAAAAATGGTTTTTGTCTCCCATCAAAGCTTTGCATCCTCTACCCTTGTCTTTTCAAGCTATAAGTTCAAAATAAATTTGATAAAGTACGAAGTCAAAGCTGACCATACGGAAAGGTTCATTCATATTGTCCAAAAATCCTTGAACGGTAACAGCAAAATCCTCTTTTTCGAAGTAGCGACTGCTCTGGATATCGTAGATTGCCTGAAACAAGTTTTTAAAATGAGTTTCAAAAACGCACTTTTGCATTTGAGTGAAGTCCTTCTACCTACAAGTAAGATTTGATCTTCAAGTTGGTAATCGTATTATCTATTTGTTTAGCTGCCAAATTGTTCTTACCCTTGATCACTTTTCTGCTTACCGTGGATGAAACAATTTGCACATATAGCTGTTGAGTTTATAGTAGACGTCATCCGTCTAGTCACCTCGGTGCGATGTGTGCTACTGCACACAATTTTGAAATTCCGGATGAGGTGCTGGGCTCCCGCGCATACGGCCAAAATTCGACGCCAAATTGCCCGATTTTCTTACTTTGATGTTTTTTTTCGTTTTAAGCACTTTTCTGCACGCATGGTCTATTTCTCAATGATCTGTTACCTTTATACTCGTGCACTGCCCTTTTAGATCGGATATCTTAAAATTTATCACTTCTGCTTTCAGGTAAAGGAAGCACATGGGCAATCTTGCAGTATTGTGAAGTAAGTGTGTTTTTCGGTATTGTCGTATGTAGAAAGAATAGAGTATTTCTTAGACAATACGAGTTTTAACTTCTTTCTAACCAAAATCGTTTTGTACCAAGTTCCTCTTGGAAAGCCTTCTAAGTCTAAGTGGGATTGCTTTGAGCAAAAACTTGTACTGCCTAAGAGATATTCTACTCTTTCTATACACGACAGTAGTGAAGATAGCAGACTTACTTCAAAATCTTGCGAGATTGCTTATCTCCTCCTTTACCTGGAAGCAGAAGTGGTAAGTTTTGAGATATCTGATCTAAAACGGCAATGCACAAGTATAAAGTTAGCAAATCACGAAAACTACCGTGCATGCAGCTAAAAGCAAAAAAAAACCTCAAAATAAGAAAATCGGGCAGTTTGGCGCCGAATTTTAGCCGTATGCGCACTTGGTGCAAGTGCGGCACGGCGGGAGTCCTACACCTCATCCGGAATTCCAAAATTGTGTGCAGTAACACACATCGCACCAAGGTGACTAGACGGATGACGCCTACTATACCTTTCTATATTCGTAAATCAGGCGATGTCGAAGAGTATGCCAGTCCTCTCTTGTCCAGCAAAAAAGCCATTGA